GCAAGGTATGCATTGTGGCTGGCGATCAGGTTGGAACAAGAAAAGTTGTTGAGAACAACTGGGAGCCCAAGTGGGGAGAAGAGTTCACTTTCACTTCTGTGAACCTTGGAGCTGATATTCTTAAGATCGAGGTATACGATTGCGACAAAGGGGAAGATCAATTTGCAGGGATGGCTCGTATGTTTTTGGGCCAGCTTAGATTGGGAACGCGCTCAGTGCCACTGCGCCATGATAAACATGAGAACGCTATCACATCCACTTCATTACTGATGCGATTCACGGTAGTATGAAGATGTATAGAATTTGCTTTCTTTTTTTATACGTAGATTGACGGATTATATAGTCATTTCGCATTGGCTTGATGTTGTATATATATACCACAAAAGAAACTGATTAATATTTTGGTTGTTTGTTAATGAACATTTCTATAGATGATTTATTTAATTATGTATTTTGTGGTTGTATTGGGGCCCATTTCACCAAGAAAATTATTATGTTTTTAAAGTGTGAATCGAAACAACATAGAAGATTTGTACTAATAAGAAAATGTTTATGATCTAAACCCGGTTACGAAAACTTTTATGTAAGATGCTTTGTTTCAAGATCATCGTTTAAGTTTTCAATTGATTAACCATTTTTTAAGAAAAAGAAAATTAATTATATGTTTATGCTCCTGCTAGAAAGAGTTATCCAATTTTCCTATGTAAGACGTTGGATTGGTAATCAAGAGCTTCATTTACAATTACAATTAGGTAGTAAAAGATTACAATCACTAATTCAAACTTGATTTACAAAAAAGGTAAGATTACAATCATTAATTCAACTTCGCCACAGTGTTACAAAACGCCCTTTGGTCTGCTTGATCCGACAATCAAACTACTTGATCTTATCTACCACCCAACCAGTCACCTAGCAAGATCCAATAGATAAAGAGAAGAGACATCAAGATCCAATTTTTTTAGAAAACTAATTTATCTATTAAAGGAGAACTCCCCAAAGGCCTAGTAGAAACAAAACCTATCAAATAGCTGAGTAATTGATATGCAAGTAAGGGAATCAGTCGCACAAACCGTTCTTGCTTCCTCCTTAGTAATTTCATAGTGAAGCAAACCATGCTACCATTCCACCTTCATATCGAGAGTTTCCAATCTCTCTTATCGAAGCCAACCGGTTTCTGATTTGCTTGTCAATATTGAGCTAAGTGTGAAGCCGTATTTGGTATCGCTCCCGCCAAATGGTATGGAGAGTGATTTGGAATGCGTAGCGCAAGAGACTACTATTCTTTCCCATTCCGCTATGTAATTTGACCTTAATAAGTAACATGTCAATTGGCACCATACTTCCTCTAAAAACTGACACGTGAAATAAAGGTGATTTCGAGTTTCTATGTATCTTTGACAGAGAACACAGGACCATCAACACCTATATTCCACTTAACCATGCGGTCTCCCGTCGACAATCTGTTGCGAAATGCTAACTATGAGTGAAACGCATATTTAGGAGTAGCATAAGTGAACCATATCCCCTTCCACCACTCTTGGATAGGCGAACCATCTCTGATTAGTTTCCAAGTTTCCTTGGACTTGAAATTCGGATGAAAATTATCCCGTTTTTGTCTCCATAGAACCACATCTTCCTCGAGTTATACCCTTTCGTCGTTGTTCTTCTATCACACTCTCCGCAATGTTATACTTTTCCAGCCTGTGTCGTCGAGGTCGATGCGTTTGTAAGACCATGTCCACTGTGGCGTGGTTGTGAATCCCCAAACCAATGCAACCCATATACATGATATATCAATTAGCCTCCCTCTTGACGTCCAAATATCATGCCAAAAAGATGTAGTAGCTCCATTCTTTACATTCAATTTCACAAATGTTTTTGCAATTTCTCTGTATTTTAGCATCTTGTTTTTACCTAGGTTGTATGGAAACTCCACCCAAGGTCCGTTTTCTAATTTGGAAACGTTTTGGAAGCGTGTTTCCAAAATTGGAAACGCGGCCAGAAATGCGGCCGGAAACGTAACTTTTGATTTTAGAAGCAAATTGAATAAATATTTTGAAAATATAGGGATTTGTTTGTTATTTTTAGTAAGTTTTAAAACCTAATTATTAAACACTAATACATTCTTTTTTCTTTAATCGTCACCGTAACCTAAAAATATAGAAGAGTCGAAAAGATAAGCAAAGTATTTTTTCTAATTACAGTAGATTTGTTATTGATTATTGAAATTGTGAAGTCATATACATAAACGAAGTGTTTTTTGTTCGAGTCGGATTGGATTTGTGTTATTTCAAATATTTTAAAACCAATAATAATTTTTGTTTCATG